ATGATTAACATTCGTACTTAATTAGAAGAAAAAAGTTAAGATATCAAGTTTGATTCAACATCTGAAGCTTGGTACATGGATATTTAAGCATGCCTCATGGTGCCATGCTTTATTTAATCTTGAATTTACAATACTATGGAATCTAAAACTGTGATTTCTATTAGAATTCCTTAACACTTGAATGCAAATGGATATTTCTTCAAAGTCCTAAAGTTTTTATTCTCCTCTAAGTCCCAAGGTACTGGACATGGCTCCCTATATGAAATGATAATCTCCATTTACTTGCCAACTGATTCTGAACAGCCATCTAAGCCAATTAAAAAAATAACCACACTAATGATGGTTACAAACCAATTTATATTATATGTTTACATTTACGTTAGAGAAAGGGCAGTTAAACAAACTCTTAAAAGCCAGCACAGACACATAAATTTCTATGGTTCTATGGGAGGATGTCCCAAAGTGCCTGACACTGCTGGCTGGTTACACGAGCTAGAGGCAGGGAGAAGAAAGATGACCAAAAGGGTGAGAGATGCATCTCGGGATGGACCTTACAACTGTAAAGAAATTTGTAATATGCATGACAGATGACAAATCATCCGTCATGCATATTATAATAACAACCAATAATAACAGTAATTTATTCTGATTGTTGCTCATTGCCTCTTCCACAATTAATAAAACCAGTCTCAAATGCAGCTTTCTTTTCCACCTCAGTCATAACTATTCCAAGAGCATTTTCCTCCTATGGTACAGATATATTTATATCCATTTTATTTTTTATATGCACCAATGACCTCATTAATTGCTCATTATGAGGCCATTTAGTGCTTCAGGCAGCCGTTTCCTGATTGGTTCTTTAAATTTAGCGAACCTCAAAGTAATACTACACTGATCCAGGAATTATTGTGAAGTGCTGTAGCTTAGGGGTTAGAGCACTCGTCTCGCAAGTGAGAGGACCTAGATTTGATTCCCAGGCAGGGCGAAATGTTGGGCAAGTTTCCTTACTCTACATACCTCCGTTCACCCTGCAGTAAATAAGAACCTGGATGTTAGTCAATTGGTAGATCGTTTTCCAGGGGTGATAATCCCTTTTAAAAAAATAAAAATGCTAATAATTTGGTTACTCAATGCACAACTGTTTGTGGGACACTGCTATGCTCAATTGACTGCCGCGTTTCAGCCGGAAAATATGCAGTCAATTCATGTTACGGTATATTCTGTAAAGCGCTTTGAGACATCTTGATTACATGGTAAGGGGCTATATCAAATGCAAGGATTATTATTATTTATAAAAGATAGATGTTTGTCTGGAAAGGAGTGGCAAGGATTATTATATTAATTCAGATTTCCTTCAGATTCTGTAGTCTGGCCAATTTATTGCCCATTTTTATGTTTGAAGCTTCTTATTACTGACATCAATGTCTTCCCAACTTCTGACTCAAAAATAAATTTAGGATTATTTAGGAATTAGAAAGGAATTTTTACATTCATAACCACGTTTTTTAAACAAAATGTTCCGAATGTCTCCAACTCTCATAGTAATTTCTGGTCAACTGGATTTGGAAGATTTTAACCCCTATTGTGCGTCTTAAATTCATAATCTAAGGGTGTTTTGTGTACTTTGAGGCACCGTCCATCACAGGAAGCATTAAACCAAGGTCCTACATGCTTATTATGGTACATATGATTGATGTCAAAAATCTCATTATTTTGAAAGTTTGGGTAAAGATGTCTCTTCAGCCGTCTTGAAAAAACAACCCTTCCATCTTCCCATCACAACATTAAGCTGTTTCTTAACACAGTCCAGTGTACACACCCACCCTTCATGGTAACTTTCTTTCAACTATTGATTTCTAGATTAATTTTCGACAGAAAATCTGTTTATAATAATTGATTCCATTCATTTTCTAAATACTGAGGTCAGGCAAATCCGTGTGAAGTTTCCAGGTATGGCTCTTTGTTATTTGTGCTTTATTTGGCTCTCTGATGACTATAATAATGATCCTTGCATTGAAAATAGCACCTTATCACGCTGTTGAGACGTCTCAAACAGTTCACATTTTACTTTGAAATGTAGGAACTATTGTATTTGGAGGGGGTGTTGGCAGTCAATTTGTGCAAAGCAACATGCCATAAACAACTATGAGAATGGGAATTTTTTCAGGAAGATTATTTTCCATTATTCTGGGAGAAACTCCTTTGTTCGAAAATATGCCATGCGTTCTTTAACATACACCTGGACAGTCAGGCAGGACCTCAGTTAATGTCTCATCGAGAATTTCCATTTACTTCCTTAAAATGGCCATCTTTATTTTATTCCTGGGGCCCAGTCAAAGTTCCTCTTTCATTCAAAAAATAATTGCTTTCTCACCTGCCTCCCCTCCCCCCAGTTAAAATTAATTAGTCTGTTATATCATTTGATCTTTACTGGCTGTTACCTTATTCTGTGAGGCGCCCTGGGATATTTTAATGTAATAATGTGCTACACCTTATGAAAATACAGTATTTGAAGAATTGGAGAAGTATTTGGTTCTTCACTTGCAGTCCACTTTTGGGAAGTAGCTGCTAAGTAATGCTTGACAATTGTTATGGGGGGTGCATTTTGTTTCTTATTCACTCAGGGTTTATTGAATAATCATTCCACAAATTGTGCTCTGTGTTTTTCTGGAACGCTGAAGTTTTTTTCTGACCTGTGGATTAGAGAGCGGCTTCTTATGTGCTAGTGGAAGAAGCTTATTATTTGTGCAGTCACTGCCTCCTGTCTTCAATTCTGAAACTTCGTGGTAAAGCCTAAATGAAAAAGAACATTTTCTTAAACACTTGTTTCCAGTTCGGTGAACTTTGGTACAAATGCCACCAGCAAAACAGTTCAAGTCTTGCACGGTTGTGACACACAATTTGCTTTTTGACTAATAACAAATTAAGCTCTGTCATTGAATAGATTGTCCCGACCTAAATTAAATTCACAACAGCCTAGTACTTCTGGTGTGAAGGATACAGAACTAAATTATCACATATCACATGTATTATATATTTATAGTACAAATTGCAATTGCTAGTATTCCACAAATAATCTTATTTAAGGACAGAAGTGCTTAACTGATTAAGAAAAAAGCCGGTAGCATTATATGACAACAAGTTTCATGTCTTGGGTGCACGATATTTAATTGACAGCATTCTCAGGCTGTTGTAAAGATTTGTGTTTCATCTTTCACTCAAGTAGACCTTAATACTTTAAAAAACAGAAAGCATTTGCAATTTCAATTTACAACACTGTTTATTTTTAAGTAGGGTTTATAGTGGCAGCATGAAAGGAACTGCATTTGATGATACCAATGAAGGGGAAGGGATGTAATTCATTTATTAAATACTGTATACAGATGCAATATAACCGAGTAAGTAACTTGTCACTCTTCTGGTTTCTGTGATGAATTTCAACCAATCATTAACTTCAAGCAAAGATGTCTACATTGAATTTGCAGCTCCATTATATTTGGATTAGGATCAACTATTTTTTAATTTTTAAGATTTTATTTAAATTATAATTTTGAATTGTTTTACCGTTTGATTCACATATTCAGTCTCCAGCACTTTGTAAGCATTATTATAAAGAGCATAAATACATTTTAATCACGGACAATAATATTTAAAATTGTTTTCTCCACATTCATTTTTTCTCTTTAGTGTAAATGTAACACAATACGTTGAAGAACACAACTAAAGAGACTGCTTGCGGTTTTAATTTATTTTTTAACCAAGAGAGATTTATCCACATTTTCAAGAATGCATAATTTTTTTGAATTTTATGAACATATCAAAATGATAAGCATATCCATGGTAGAGGAACTAGATAGGTGAGCCTTCAGACATGGTATCTAACTTATGTGTAGTCCCACAGATCTTCAAAATGCACTTAATTTTTTTGACACATATCCAAATCATATTAGGTGCTGTAGGATGTGCTTGAAATTATGCTTACTGTCACATGTACCAATAGGTCCTCACACTCGTGTTGAAATTCATTCATTCCCTGGCACCTCCCTACCTCTCCAACCTCCTCACTCTCCAATCCACCACCCGGCGCCTCCGCTCGACTGGCATCGGCCTCCTGCTCATCCCTCAGACCCTCATCCCTTACTCCTCCCCACTTTTTCAAGTCCCGCTTGAAAATCTTCCTCTTCAATCATGCTTACAGCCACTTCCACCCCTCACCCCCCCTCCATAATAATAATAATAATAATCCTTGAATTTGATATAGCGCTTTTCATGTCGGGAGGACGTCCCAAAGCGCTTCACAGAATACACTGTAAAGTGAATTGACTGTATATTTGTGGGCGAACGCGGCAGCCAATTGCGCACAGCAATGTCCCACAAACAGTCGTAGATTGAAAATGACCAATTTATTATTGGTTTTGGTTTTTGGAGGGATTATTATTAGGCTCTGTGTGGAGTAAGGAAACTTGCCCAAAGTTTCGCCCTGCCTGGAATTGAACTCAGGTCTCTGGCTTTCAAAGCGAGTGCTCTAACCACTGAGCTACAGGACTCCATAGGTTCGGAGTCAGGCTCCACCACTGTTAAGCGCTCTGAGACGCGATTTGTTGTTGTTGCTGCACATCACCCTTTTTGAATGCTTTGTTACTTCTAGGTCATAAACACATATTTTTATATAATATATGATTTAGTCGAGTGTATTGGCTAACTGGCAATGATCCATGATGAGACTGTATTTTTTATTACTTATACACCACTTATTGTAAAATAGATAGTTGTTATTAGCAACCACAATCAGAATTTGAATCATTTGCCTAAGTATCTTCTTACATCCATTTTGCTTTAAAACATAGCTTCTAAATCAGGATCTCTTACATCGTAGCTTTAAAAGATAAGAATCTTCTACAGTCCGCTAACACCAATAAATCATCTTTGATTAGATTAATTTGTTTTGTACCAATGTATGGCAGGAATTTAAAATATGTTTTTTTTCTTTTTCCTATCAGATGAGCTGTGTCAAGAAGCTGCGTCCACGGCTGAATGCTATTCTGTTCAAGCTTCAGTTTGAGGAGCAGGTGAATAACATCAGACCAAACATTATGGCTGTCACGACTGCATGCGAAGAGATAAAGAAGAGCAAAGGCTTCAGCAAGCTGCTGGAACTAGTACTGCTAATAGGAAACTACATGAATGCTGGGTCTCGGAATGCTCAAACCTACGGCTTCAACATTGGCTTTCTGTGCAAAGTGAGTCCATGTCTCAAAGGTTCAGGCAAAACCACTGAACTGAATAACTTCTCTGTACTAAATACAACATAGACTTATCGAGAACAAACAGCTGAAGCTATAATTTCTTGTAAATCCTAACATTTTCTACCTATTCCTACTACCCTATGAATCCTATGAAAATTACTGATATAAAAAACAGGCAACCTAAGCTTTTCATATTATGAGCATACGGCAACTCTGACTCTAAAGTGTTTGTTGAAATGGACATTTGCATCATGATGGTTTAAATGTGTATATGTACATGCTTTTGGTGAAAATATTTGGGATAGGTCAGCAGAAATGGCTTCAATGAGCATTACTGAGAAAATGACCGATGACAGAATAATGACATATATTTGCGTTTGCCTGTTTTTTTATGTTTTCAGGTGCACTCTTTCGTAGTTGTGATCAGTTCTCGATATCAACCATCAGAACTGCTGAGTATAGAGTGCCTCTCTCTGATTCAAGGAATAAATCCAAAAATAATCCGAGATGAAACTGACACAGTAAAGTTAAAAAGTAAAAAAACTTCCCACACTAACCCCTGAGAGAGCAAATCGACAATAATGTGTGATGTGTGTGTGTGAGAGAGCAAGAGAGAGAGCCAGGATATATAGATTAAATTTATTATTATTATTATTAAATGGAATACAGAAAACAGTATGAATAGCCTCATAATCGCTCAATGATAGCTTGCATAAATTATAACAATTGGAGAGCCCACATACAGAATATTTGGGAACAAAAAATATGGGGTTATTTACACCAATAGTGTAAACAGCAAAATGGTAGATGTTCCATTTAGATTGGGTTAATGCACATTATATTTTCTGAATATATTAAATCACAAGAATAACCATTTACTGGCCATAGAGTTAAAGCACTGATTTTGCTAATTATCAAGTGACAAATATAATAAAATTAAGATAGTAGCAACTTTATCATATCATTTGTCTTTTATACCAAGTGCACTAAATGTCCCAGAAAACTGCCCATGAGGTAATTGTTAAATACATAAGTACATTTGAATGTATATGACTAGAAAAGACCAACTAACCATTCCCAAAGCTTAAAAGAGTCTACCACCCAAGCTCTTCATTTGAATTATTTGCCAAGTAATTATCTAACTCACTAGAATCTGTTGCCACAATCTACCCTCCTGAGTACCAGATATTCCCACACACTCTGTAAAATATTAAACCTGAACTGTCTTGTCTATTCACTTTCCCTCTTGATCTCATGTCTGTGTTTCCTTGTTCTAGATGTATTGACATGTTGAATATATTTTTAAGTCTTTGTTTATATTCAGATTTCAGATCTTGAATACTTGAATAACATTTCCATGAGCTTTTTTTAGTGTGAACATTTCCAGCTTCTGTAGTTTCTCCACATAACTTTTGAGTTTTTAATTCCAGCGATCTATCAGTTGTTTGGCAAGTCAGAATAGAGTGCAGTTCTGCCCTATGTTATTTCACCTATAAGTCATTAAACGTTTACCTAGATCTGGATGGAAATCTATAAACGTCAGTGCAACCTTTCTTGGGCAGTGCAGCATGTAAATGAGAGATTGACCATGGAACTGAGCACTGAGATTGTAACAAGTCTACTGCTGCTCTAATACATTTTTCTTCCGGACATACCCTCATAATCACTCAGCAATAAATAGTTCAAATTTCTTGACAGGAGGTAATGTGCTGTATTATTTAATTAATTAATGTTCTGTATATTTCCACAATGTTAATATTCTGCGACAACTCCCATCATTTCCCATTTTGTATGAAGAAAATCTATATTGGGCTGGTACTTTGCAGATGATTCTTTGTCAGTGTCTCTCAATTGTGTTCTTGCATACCCCACAAACCTTTTAAACTGGTGGTTAGTGGCCTTGGCATGCAAGCCTTAAATGTCTTAAAATGCGTGAGTTCCATTAGCTTGAGTGGCGAGTGTGATTTTCTTTTTGTGGCATGGTTTTCATAACTTTAGGGTTTAGAAAAGTGCTGGTCAAGAAGACAGCAAGGTAACTAGCATGTTATTGCTAGCATGTTCCAGGCAGGGCGAAACCTTGGGCAAGTTTCCTTACTCCACACCCCTCATAATAATCTCTCCAAAACAAAGCAATAATAAATTGGTCATTTTCAATCTACTACTGTTTGTGGGACACTGCTGTGCGCGATTGGCTGCCGGTTTTCGCCCACAAATATACGGTCAAATCACTTTACAGTATATTCTGTGAATCGCTTTGAGACGTCGAGAAGACGTGAAAAGCACCATATCAAATGCAAGGATTATTATTATTGGCAAAAGCACCTCGGGATGTTGTCTCCTTAAAGGTAGCCCAATGCTGACCTTCACAACCCAACTCCATCCCTAGCCGCTATTGATAACATCTTGTTCAACCCCAACAGTCCAAAACAAGGGGGCCTTCAGCACATATCGTCAGTAGGGGATAGGATGTTCAGGCCAGTTTAAAATTCTTTCTCACCTCGACACATGCTCGCTTAATCCTCCTGTGAGAAAGGTAGCGTTTACATTCATAATTAACCATGTAATAAAAGGTTAATTGGCATTTTTATACGCCAGACAGGCTGGTCAAACATCAGTGATGTCTTTGATTTTTCAAAGACTTTTCTTACCTGAGGTGAATAATTTTAGACGTGCTATACATTTTATCAATCATGAAAGGACTGAGTATACCCGTTGAAAACGCTGATCTGTGCTCAACTGACTGAGCTGCCCAGGAGAACTAGGGGCATATCATGATTTGTGGTTAAATTAAATCTTTTAATACCCTTAAATAATTTGGTTTAATGGAATATGAAGTGGAGACTTATTCATTCTCACATTACCTAGCTTTTATGGTACTTGCTCTCCTGTTGAAAGAACGTGGATTCAACCACATGGGAGAAGAGTGGAATAAAAGTAATGCAAAGGGGCATTAGGCATGTATCTTTTGAGATCAGCAATGCTGCATTGCTAGACTGATAATGTGGAGAATAACAAATAGTTCACAGAATATTAAATAATCTGTGCATTGGTTACTAACTAGACGTAACATCACTAACTATTAACTATCCATGTGGCTATTAATATGCTGATTGTGCACAGGATATTGAAGAAATGGTTTTCAGAAAGAGCTAATCACTTAACAATACAAAGATCATAGAGTGATCCCCAAACACACTATTTTTAACATAAAGTACACAATATATTTTGGAAATCTAAACACCTACAAAGTCATACTTTAGATAAATTAAACAGGAGGGCAAAAAAAAATATTCTAAACTGCAAGCCACATTTTTTCAAAAAGGAAATTTATCAATCATTTCCAGCATCCAGACGTGGGGGAGGGGCAGAAACTACTATTACTAATAATAATGTTTGTATTTGATATCGTGTGTTATTACGTCGTTAAGACGTCTCAAAGCACTTCACATACTGTGAAGTGAACTTAGTGTGTATTTTAAGGGTGAAACGCAGTTGCCAAATGCGCTCAGTAGTAGATTAAAATATTTAAAGCATTAAATGAGGAGAACAATGTAATGTTCTTCTTTGGCAAGATATTCTCATTCAGTGTTATTTTCCCCTTTACAGAGAAAAATTGTATAGGAAATATGAAAACATAAAAATATAGTAAGATTTTGCATACTCTTGGAATCTTGTATCCATGAACACAATGGGATGGAGATTTTTCTGTGATTTTACTGCATACACAAACTTACAAATACACTAAAAATGCGAGAGACACACCCACACACACTTCTAGACAACTGCATATACACCGATATACACCGATAAGAGTCCCTGATCTAAGCCATGTCATTTACAGAATTTATAAGAGGATGAGTTAGTTCATGTCTTTCTCATAATGGCCCTTTCAAAAGTTAATTTGACTTGATATTGAGATGCCTTCCCACCTACAATGTTTGATACCGAAACCATTGTGATAAATATTCTAAAATTAGAAGATTTCTGTCTCGCCCCACCCTACCTCTGCGACCTCCTAACCCCCTAACAATTCGCCCGCTCCCTCCACTCAGCTGGCTCCGGCCTGCTCCACGTCCCCCGACTCACTCGCCCCACCATTGGCGGGAGAGCCTCCAGCCACTTTGCCCCCAACCTCTTGCATTCCATCCCTTCTCCCTCCCTGACCCCAGCTCGGGTCTGAAATGCTGTACACTGTCCAGCGCCTTGGGACGTCCTCCCGACATTAAAGGCGCTATACAAATGGATTCTTGTTGTTGTTTAGTCCCAATTATTGAGGTGATATGTTTGTAGCATACATGGCTGCATTTGGAGCTTTCCCTCCTTTTTAGAAGTTTTTTTTAAAAAAAAACAAAATACTGCTCTTTTAAGAATGCTGCCTCTCTCTGTGAGTTCAAAGTATACCTAAAATCAGTGAATTTTCATAAACGCATTTCCCATTTGTTATTTCCTCACTTTCATGTTAAGTAAAATAAAAGAAGAAAAGAAGATTACACATGAGTAATATTTAACACAATTCTGGCCTCTTTATGAAAAATGTAACCCTAATGAAAAAAAACTAAAAACTTTGCAACTTTAAAATCAAAACTATGCCCTAAAAATGTATCTGAAATATTTGACTAATATTTTTGACTTATTTGACCTAACTGATATTTTGCTTTTTATTTTCCTTTAGCTGAAAGATACCAAATCAGCAGATCAAAAAACAACACTTCTACATTTCCTAGCAGAAATCTGTGAGGAGAAACATCTGGATGTCTTTAAGTTTACAGAGGATCTGCAAAATGTTGACAAAGCTAGTAAAGGTACATGTTTAAATTTTACAGTTCAAAGGCAAATGATAACACTTGTGATTCAAATTATGAATTAACTACCAATTACTTTAATATTCTAAATGCTTTTTGTAGCTGTCAAATCAAGTACAAGATGAGTTCACATTTTTCTAGGCTCTTTATTTAAGTTATGCTAATATGAAATTGACAACTTTTGACTTCACCTGTAATACAAACGGAATTTGAAGAGGGTTCAGACAATCTTGTCTGCGATGCTTAATTACCGAATACAATGCCAGCAAAGTTGATCAGTTTAGTATCATTTCATCTCTTTGCTGTGAGAAGATGTTGCCTGTTTTATGGGCTGCTTTAGTGAATTCAGAATATTAACTGCTCCTGTAGGTTGCAGTAGTGCTTAAGTTGTGGGTGGAAATGCCATTTATTGTGTGGCTTATGTGTTCTTTCTCTGTTAATATGCATTAAGCAAAGACTGTTGTGTTTCCGTATGCACTGTGCTTGAAAAGGATGAGAAAACACTGGTGTTTCTCCCAATAATAATTAATGTGTATTCATGTATGTTTTTTTTGCACAAAATACTGCATCTGCACGAATGCTGGCACACAATATTCGTCCTTTGATGGATTTCTTGGTATATTCGATGACATAACAACAGAACTCACCCAAAGGCAACTGTAATTAACATGGTTGTCTCCAAAATTTGACACTGATGGTTACGAGGACAAGCAAAAGGCTTGGAGAAAATGTACTGGGATGCTAACAGGCAAGCCAATGGTCGTGTGCATATTCCAACTACCCTGGTTCGGCAACTGATAGATAATTCTGAATTTGAACTTGTGTATTCAGAGCTGCAGATGTCGATTGCTTGGGAGAAAACTGAACAGGCTGAAAATTGTGTATATTCTTGTTTATAATCCTGAGTTTAACAAAGTGTTTGTTTCTGGCACGAATGTGGTGGTAGGTAGGCAACATCCTGAACTGTCTGTCTTGACAGTGCTTGAACTTGTCGCTTTGGTGTAAAAGATAACATACTGTTTGTCCACTCACTGTCCTATTCTATGTCTGTTCGCCACTATGATTAGTTTGCTCTTTATCATTTAGACTATTTGAAAAAAAGGGATGTGATCAACAAATCGAATATCACTTTTATCATTCCTGGGTTATTAAGTAGGACAAAAAATAATAGTGGAACAATGCTTCCATAAGTGATATTTCAGTGGTGTTGTGATGGAAACATAGTGCTTATTTACAGTGACTCGGTAAGCATTTTAACCCTTTGAGATAGTCATGTATGCAGTTCAACAGCTCACCAAATGTATTATGAGGCCATTTCATCTTGTGAGACCAGACTTCATGGAAAGAATTAACACTTGCATGTGTAAGCTTCTTGTCATTTTGTGAATGTTTGGTTCCTGAAACTTACAAAAACACTTGAAAAAATCATTTGTATTTGTATTCAGGACCTGAGAAGAAACTCCCTTCTCAGTATCATGGTGTTTTGTGTTTCATTTAAAAGATGGCACCTCCAAACCTGCTGCAATCACTCCATTCTGCACTCGAGTGTCACCTTAGACTATACAACATGGAATGTTGTAGAAATAAGTTTGAATAGATTATGGAATTCCATAATATTACTATTTTGTGAATTTAAATTCAAATTGATTGGTTTAAATAGGAGTTTTGGATGTGAGGAATGAGAGGCCTTATCACATAGTGATTAGATATAGATGTTTGTTTGTGATTCTCCAATGAGTTTTCAAGTTCAGCTGTGGAATGGGTTAAAACCAGATGGTTTTCCATAAGGAATGAGCGAAAATTGCTAGACGATTCATCCAGGGCTATTTTATTCTCCTTTGGTAGAACAATATTGTCAAACATTTCAGGTGGATATCTGCCTCTTTGTGTTTGCTGCAACCCCCACCCCACCACCACAAATGCCTTCATGCTTTTATTTTTTGACAACCATCAGAAGTACATTCTTTATAATAATCCTTGCATTTGAAATAGTGCCTTATCACATTGTTGCGATGTTTCAAAGAGCTTCACAGAATATATTCTATGGTGGATTGACTGTGTATTTGTAGGCAAACATGGCAGCCAATTGCACACAGCAGGGTCCCACAAACGTTGTGGAATGAGTGATCACATTTTTTTGCGGGGGGAGAGGGATTATTACCCCTGGAAAGTGATCTGCCAAATGACCAAACAACTGGTTCCTAAGTACTGCTAAGTAAATAGAGTAAGGTAATTTACCTAAGGTTTCAGATCAGATAATAATCCTTACATTTGGTATGGTGCCTTTCATATCAGGAGGGCATCGCAAAGCACTTCACAGGCTATACGTAAAGTGGAGTGTCTGTGTATTTTGTGGGCGAGTGTGTTTTTTGTGTCTGAAATGGATTTCATACTACAATAGAACAAAATACATAGGATTGGTTAGTTTTAAGTTGATTTTTAAATGTAAAACTTGATTGTTGTTGATGGGGGCAGTGGGAAAATGAGGTTGTTGGTGCAGAATTGATTGTGGGGTCCTGAAAGAGTTAATGTTATAGTTATTTATGGGTAAAAAGAGCTGAGCTGCACAGGCTGGAAGGCCTTGGGTTAAATTCTCGGTTTACTGAGTTAGCTGATCTCACCCAGAACAGCAGTTGTGGTGCCACAATAAGCCTCAGTGCCTCTGGGTTTGGGAGTGAGAGAATAAATCAGCCAAGGTTTATACCATCACCAACCACTAACCCTTGTTAGAAAGAGTGTGTAGAAGTTGGGTGAGAACAACATTGTTGCTGTGACGCCCTCCATGGTTGAATAGCCTGCCAACACTCATTATTGAAGATTGCACGTAAAGAATAGTCACTTGAATGAAAGACTTGTGGGCTGATGGCACTGGTAGAACCATTTCCCAGCAAGAGTCAATACCCTCTGGAGAGGAGGGGGAAAAATTGGTTAAAAAAACTTCACTTACAATAAGATATAGTACAACTAATTTAAACTGACTGACCAGAGAATATGTGCTTGATGGATTTGCAGCAAAGTCATATTGCTACAGGCAGCACCATGGGCAAAATGACAATTGAATACAAATCTGTCACAACCCATCACTGTGCAGTTTATGTAAAAGTTTATAACAAAATTGTTTTGCTAGAGAAGGAATACAGTATTATATTTTTAAAAAGTAAATGAGGCAGAATATTTTATTCTCCTACATCATTCTATGGGAATCTAATGATGTTTCACATTGCTTGTTTTTACTCACCGCTATTTATTTAAGTCAAACAGATCATTTATTATTTTAGAAATGTAACATTTTATCCCTCTCTCTTTCCCACACGTACACACACACACTTTGTAATTGCAGGCAGAGACAAATGCAATTCTTCTGCTTCATTTCAGTTTTTAAAATCCACACTGGTCAATTGCATCATTCTAGCAGCTGGTGAATCTGCAAGCTCCTGCATCAAAGGCCAAATCCTGTTAGTCAGAATCATCTGTATAACCTTTTACATCATCACATATTCCTAAATAGCTTCCATCAAGTCACTGATGTGCTGCAGATGATATCCATAGTAACACCATTTTCACAGGAAGACTCAAAAAACACACAGGAATGGAAGCAGAAACAGCAGCCTCTTTCCAGCTGATATGCAAGTAATTAACTGATTATTAGTTTTGTCTTAAAACATCACAAGTGAAACGATCATTGCAGCTAATGAAGTGCACAAAGATGCTTTTTGTGGCTACTCCATTAAAGTACTAACATTATAACATTGGTAGAAGAGCATAATCTACATTTTCATAAAATTATTTTTTCCTTCATTACCCACTATTCCTCATACAATTCTGAGCTCTCTTCCCTCCAGAGTAGAATTTGTGGATTGATGTGTAGCATGCATTTGGCTCTCTGCAACTGACCACACATGCTGCTATTCCACTTGATCTGCCATTATTAATATGGCTAACAAAATAATAATATTAATAAAATCCTTGCATTTGATATAGCGCTTTTCACGTCTTCTAGACGTCTCAAAGCGCTTCACAGAATATACTGTAAAGTGAATTGACTATATTTGTGGGCGAACGCGGCAGCCAATTGCGTGCAGCAGTGTCCCACAAACAGTCGTAGATTGAAAATGACCAATTTATTATTGCTTTGTTTTGGAGGGATTATTATTAGGTGTGTGGAGTAAGGAAACTTGCCCAAGGTTTCGCCCTGCCTGGAATTGAACTCAGGTCTCTCGCTTGCAAAGCGAGTGCTCTAACTACTGAGCTACAGGACTCCACGGTGTCGGAGTCAGGGACACGGAGCTAAGAATATCATTTTGCATTTTAATTTTCAAATTCTACTCTGGAGGGAAGAGAGCTCAGAATTGTATGAGGAATAGTGGGTAATGAAGGAAAAAATAATTTTATGAAAATTATGAGTTAAATTTGACTGCCTAATTTTTGTTCTGTTTCTTAGTTAATATTCCTTCTAATTGAATGCTGGTGCTTACTTGGAAAAACAAACATTTGTGGTCCCTGAACTGCAGTGCTTCTCACATAATCACTGCTGACTCAGTGTTTGAGATCTCTTCTGAATTTATTAATGTTGTATGACAAAATGTGACCAGTTAGTCTATAATAATAATGCCCCTCACTGACTTTTTGTCCCCTGCCACACTGCAATGCCCAATTGGTCAAGCCAACTGGAGTAACAGAGGTTTTCCATCTCACAATTACTGTTCCAGTCACAGCACTGACAGATGCTACCAACCATTCTGGGAAGCTCCATTGGGAAACAGGGCAGACTGAGACTAATAGTCACAGGTAAAAAGGAAGCACTACATCAACCACTTGATGCTCAAGGCATTCTTTGGGGGCTTTAAACCTTTTCCAGAACAAAATGAAAGGAATGGCTAAACTGATGATCAAATTGTGCAGCCGACCTGGATTTCATAAATAACTGGAAGAATACAAATATTCTTGCTGTCACATGAAATTCTCTGGAGATAACAGGATAAGGGATTAGCCTGTAGACT